CCCCCCCTTTTTTTTCTCTCCATCCTCTCCCTTTCCCATTGTTGTCTATGTAACAAAAAATAAAAAATAATTTATAAAAAAAAAAATAGCATTTGACTATGTGTTGTTATGTTAACTTTAGCAAAAACTTTGTGCCAGAAGAGTATTAACTTATCACACATCTACCATGTATATTAAAATGATCTCTTTTCTACAGCCACTCTTAACATTTTGAAGAATGTATGCGACATATGGGATGGTGAATCTTTTTTTGGCTCGCATGCCAAAAGCGAGGGAAGCGCGGGGGTGGGGTGGGGTGTGTCGTGCATAGGTGGCACGCGTGCCATAGGTTTGCCATCACGGATATACAGTATGCTAATCTAGCAGGAGCTAGATGTCTTTGATATAACACCTTCAACTGGAACTCTCAGGTAGAGGTGGGAAGAAAACTCTTGATTTTTTACAATTTTAGTTGAACTATTGGCAGTATCTCAAAGTGTCATTTAACCCAGATGGGATATCCTTATCTCAAGTTGTAAATCCATAACAATATTTTACCCTTTAATAATAAATGTACCAATAATTTTCTAAAAGATCTACAACATTCAACAGAAAATTCATTCAGTTTTGATAGATTGTCTACCCCCAATTTCATTACCTGCAATGTCTTTGTAGTCTCTTGTAATGTTGATGTTGTCCCATATTTATGTTCTGATAAATCTTTTTAACTAACGTGCTTCTTTTTAGACAAAATATTTTTCAGGATCAAATTTCCAGAATTAAAAAATTATTGCATTGTAATAAGTATATTAACTGAGAAGGACAGAATAGATAGAATGTAGTTGGCAAATATATATGTAAACTTTTAAATGCAAAAAATATTATGCACTACTTTTTAAAATATGTATGAAAACGCAATTAGAACATGCCATTCAAATAATTCTCAGCCAATACCGAAAGTCTATTAGCTTATGCATTGTATCAGAGAAATCGAAATCTACTATATTAAGAGAAATAAACAGCACCTTTAGAAAAGGGCAAAAGTTAGACACTTGTTGATCCAAAAAACAAACAAACACAAAATCTGTTGAGGTTGTAAGCCAGAGAAGCAATACTTACAATTCAGTGACATCTTCTAATACCATGTCTGGAATTTGTTAAGAAAGATTTAAGAAGTCACCACAAAAGTATTAACTTCTCCTGTATTCACAAAATAAATTCTAACAAAACTAAAGTTGTTTTTATAATATCAAAAATGTTAACTTAATTTGCATGCCTTGACAGCCTTTCAATTGCTCAATATATACAGCAGGAGTCCTCAAATTTTTTAAACAGGGGGCCAATTCACAACCCCTCAGACTGTTGGGAGGAGAGGGCAGACCGGGTGGGGGGAGCATAGATAGACAGTTATTTGACTGGCTGGGTGTGGCTAGGCCATATGACTAGCTGGGCGTGGCCAACTTAACAGTCCATTGAACAATGCACACAAATTAAACTTTAATTTGTTTTGCTCCTGGGGTGTTCTATTTGCTTTTTTGGCTTGTTGTTCTTTTGGTTGCCTTTTCTTTTTACTAGATCATTTTTTCAGTTGTTTAGGAGTCTAGTGGTCTACTTCAGGAAACTCAGTTTTCTAGCAATTCTTCTCAGCCCCGAGGAGCTTGAGAAATCTCTCTCTGTCTCTCTCTCTCTCTCTTTCTCTCTCATTCTCTCTCCCTCTATCTATCTCTCTATATCTATCTTCTGGAGACGGGGGGAGGTGAAAAACAGGTTATTTTCACCAGTTTTTTGGCCTCCTGGGTATCTGTGCATCCCGTTTTTCATCCCTTAACCTCTAGAAGAATTCTACAGGCAAAAATTGTTGCCCTTATCTTTCAGTTCTAGCCTGTAGCAATAGCAATAGCAGGTAGACTTATATACCGCTTCATAGGTCTTTCAACCCTCTCTAAGCGGTTTACAGAGTCAGCATATTGCCCCCAACAACAATCCGGGTCCTCATTTTACCCACCTCGGAAGGATGGAAGGCCGAGTCAACCCTGAGCCGGTGAGATTTGAACAGCCAAACTGCAGTCAGCTGAAGTAGCCTGCAGTGCTGCATTTAACCACTGTGCCACCGCGGCTCTGTAGGGCTCACAAAGGTAAGTCCTGCACTTGAAGGGTGGGTGGGACGATGCGGGCAGGGCAGCCTCGTGGTTCTGCGTGGGTCAGATTAATGCCTTTAGTGGGCCATATGCGACCCAAGGGCCATAGTTTGAAGACCCATGATATACGGAATTCAGTCATGGCCTTGAAAGGTATCTTTGATATATTTTATATATTCTGTTAACATTAATAGACATTCCCGGACTTATAACCATCTGTTATTCAGCATCTGTTCATAATTATGATGGTGCTGATGAAGGAACCTATTTTCATTATCTAAAGTTCTAACAGCTTCACTGTCCCCATTCTCATGACTTTGGAAACACTTCAGCTCCCCCTCCCTCATTATGGGCCTGAATGCCTTATCTGGTTGGTGATGCACAGAAACCTGCTGCAGGCCTCAAATTCTTGACCAGCTAGGTCCATTGTTGCATGGGCCTCCCCCCCGACCCCATGGTTCCCACCATGCCTGGGTTACTTACTTTCCTTGCAGCTGCTGACTGGCATAACCAACCAATTCAAGGCACAACTAGCTAGAAAGCTCACAGTTGCCGAGAAACAGAACTTTCCTGACTAACTTTCTGTCCTGGACAGCCTTGAGAAACATTGCCTCTAATCTTGAAGAAGACTGCCTTTTGCCAGCTTTCTAGCTGAGCCCTATATTGTATGGGCGAACCTGTCAGCAGCTGCAGAAGAGAAAGATAAGTAAACCTGGAAGTGATGGGGCAGGGAGAAGAAATCTTAGGAGTGTTGCGAGTTGGAAAGAAGGTCATGCACTGGGTGGGTTATGGGCCTCCCTCATCCCTTAAGGTACCCATGCATAGTCTCTTAAATGACTGCAATGGAGAGAACTGGCATTGTGGTCATTGAGCTATGTGATTTTGTAGGTGTCTTGCTTAATAACCACAGCAATTTACAATCAAAATTCCAGACTCATTTGTGGCTCAAGTTCTGTCTGGTTATAGTTTCCAAATCACATATTAAAAACTTCTCACAAAATCTAAATACTCAACAGTTACAGACATTTGAAGATTGTTATTTCATCTTAATTTACAAAAACTGTTTCTAGAGAAATAACAGTTGAAAAAGTTCATTTTAAAAACTAGAGAAAATCTTCCATTTATAGAAAGGATACTGACAAAATCATCAAATCCTAGGAGTGTGCCAACAATTTCTTTATCACTTTTCATTATAATATGAATACGAGAGCCTATACACTTGTCCACCAGTTCTGTAACATAGAAAAACAGATGTTAATATTTTAAAAGAAATATTATCTCCCAAAGTAGTTACATTCAAAACACTGCATTTAAATTTTCTAGATCTTGGCACCAATTTTAATTTAAATGCTATTATTATATCTTATACCTTGATGTATTTTCTGGTTGTCTGGGAAAGAATGGGTTTAAAACAAAGAAATCAAAGCTTTCATTTTTGAATTATACACATTTTTGTATAATAGTCATAAATTACAGTAAAAATGACAGCACAATGAAATGGGTTACAATGTAGGATGGCAAAATCCAAAGTACTCTCCACTTGACCATTCCTATGACTGCTACAAGAGGGAAAATGCAAGCCATACTGTAGATTGGTTTGAGTTCTCAAAAATAAAATATGCATTCAAAATTAAATAAGAATGAATTACATGGGGGGTTGTTCTCAACTAAGCAATTACACTTACAATAAACTAATAGTGATGTATGAAACTGCACATAACTAATTCTTTCCTCATTATATATGATTTTCATTATAAGAAGACTGCTACAAAATCATTTACAGCTCTGTGATGAAGACCATTACATTTGGGGCACTACAGTTCAAATAAATCTTTCTTTTCTTGTGTGGGTCTAAGTGGCTAAGTGCATATAAACAAAGAGGGGAAAGGAGACAGAATGTCAAAGGAGCCAAGGATAGTCTTATAACCTAGGAACCTACTCATTCATGATGAGTAGAGCAAAGGTATTGCCCACCTTATTCTTGGAAAAGAATGAGAACAGCCAGTCTATAAACTATTATACCATATAGGCAATTTCTATCCATGACCATGAGCTCACAAGTAAAGCTTCTTTCCTTCTCTACCATTACTCTATTGAGAAGCCATTATATATTGAAGCAGTGCATTTATAGTGTTTTACTCTTTGTTTTCCTTTTGAGAAAAGGTTGCAAAAAGCTGGCTATCAAAGAACCAGTGCTTCAGACATCAGCTATCTAGAACTTCAGTTGCTTTGTTTTTTTTTCAACAGAAAAAGACAAAGGAGTGGCAAAAAAATGATTCATGGGAAAAATCTCCTTCAAAATGTTCAAGGTATTTAATGTGGGTCCCTTTTAGGAGCTGGATTAACCTAGACAGAATTTCAGAATGGAGTTGTGACTTTAGCCCTAACCAATCCAGCTTCCCTATCCCAAATCCTGATTTAGAATGATACACTTTTATAACAATCTATTTTCCTTACCTACCCTATTCATCTTAAAATCTGCCCAGGTACAAAATGTTAAAACTACTGTATTCCATGAAACTAAACAACACAATTATCACTCTTACTCCAATTATTCTTTCAAATTTTATCTTTCCCACAGGTCACTATATATCAAGAGATTTTGCTGGCTGAGAAGGGAAAAAACGTTGTAACTTCAAGCACAATTTTAGAAATAATAGACGTGTATCCCATCCGATTGGGATCTCTTTATTATATTTTACAATACTTTGTGTATGTTTATAATATAAAATGTATTATCTTATATTTGTAAAATGCTTCCCATTAAGTATCCTTAAATACAAAACTTGCTTTCAAATCTTTATGCCTATGGGGAGAAAGCAATTAACTGTCACCTATAATAGGATACTGCTCTCTCTTGCTAGAAACTCGAGCCTCATCTGCCTCAAACTTTAGAATGAAAATAGCCGAATGGAAGAACGATTCTTTTTATTTGTGCAGTTTTTCACTTTCCTTTCACTGATAGACCATCCCATTCTATCAGCAATCTAACATAATCAAATATTTTCCCTTCGTTCTATATCTTGCTTAGAAACCAATTTCAGCAGCTTTATCCAACTTGGAGCCCTTCTGACGCGACAACAGTCAACCTTAGGCCCATTGGTGGGAGTTACGGAAGGCTGGATCCGATTGTTAAGGGGACGCATGCCCAAGCATTCATGGTTTCGATCCCGCATCAGAGGCTGGACTTTTTCTACACTCTATGCCATTTGCAAACGGCACTGCGGCAACCCCACTCGAGTCTTCCGATTTGCGTGCCGCGCCACCCACACACGCGAGCTTGACTTTCATTACCAAGCGGCAAAAGCTGGGACGGGTTGGTAGTCGCGTTGGCCGCCATTCTTCAAGAAGATCTAGCCAATCAACTCCGCTTCCAATTATTGGAGTTGTTGCGAGGCTATTGGTCGGAACGAGGAAGCGGGAGACAGTGAAGCAGACCTAGAAGTCGAGAAGGAATAATCGAACTTCCAGAGCGAGGGAAAGGTACAAGAATCCTCGCGAGAAGCTGTTGAACAGCTGTCAATGCCTATTGCATAAAATAAAAGATACAGGCTTTAAAAATAGTTGAAACTTACATCGCGAAAATGAGCCATTGTTTTATGCCTGTTATTTGGAAAAGAATAATAGAGGGTTTACATATTGAGTTAAATTAGACGAGCGTCCAATGCGCAATTTGCGTGCTTGCCGGTATACTCAAACTATGATAGGAAATGGTTGCTGATCCAAATTCAAGGGTTTTTTTTTGGGGGGGGGAGATAATCTGGCGAATATGTTTATATTATAGACGCCGGAGAATGTAATTTCGAGACCTTCTAATGCCGAAAGAATGAACGTTTATAATTTGTAGTTCACGAAGTCAGCATCCAACGCCAATTTACGCCATTCTATGTAAATTTTGGCTTGAAAGTTTTGCGTTTTTTTTTTCAACAACGGGTAATACTTGCCCTGGAAGAATATGCCCATATTCAACCATTGTGCCTTTCTAGAATCATCTTTTTGAAGCATTTGCATCATTCTGCCTAATATATTTTTATCTCACATGAATTTTTTTTAAGCTTGCTTTTTTTCTCTTCTGGCTAGGCTCTCCTACTTGTTACTTAAATTGTATGCCTGATGATGACTCTACTTGAAAGACAATTGTTCTGGGAACTTTTTTGACTTAAGATCAGAGTAGAAATGCTTTAAAAATGCTGAAAATGTTTGCAGTTTTTCATTATAAATAAACAAGGCCGATTAGCTCCCAAATCCTATCAGATTTTATTCTTTCATATAACAATAAGAAATTGTGCCTATTTTTCATCTGACAAATATCAAATATTCCAGTTTCATCATTTTGCCTTATGCGAAGCAAGAGGAAAGACCCTGGATTAAAGAAACCAATGAACAAGTATCTGTATTCGATCCTCTTTTAACATCTCAGCAAATTCTAAGGGGCAGCAAACAGTTCCCTAAAAGATTCGGCCCAAAATCTTTTTTCTCAAATTGCAGCCACTAATTTCAACTTCCCATCTCCAAAACTATTTTTAGAATTGCTCTTGTCTGCATATATTGTGAAAAAACATAAACATTTTCAACAGCAATTCTTCCTAATTTTCAACAGAAACAAAGGAATGTTGAAATAAAGAACTCGGGAAATACTGACTCAAGAAAAAAAAGTTGTTCCTACATCTATGCACAGCACAGGCAGCATTATGTATGTTTAAACAATATGATAATTGGCATTGGAAAAATATATTGAAATATGGAACAGTTTAATAATGAAAGACTATAACTTAATATAACTTAATGTATTATTACTAGAAATACATAAACTGGATGAATGTAACAACTATGAATATTACTAGTTTTATCTGTATTAGAATGTATGACACCCAGGTGCCATCCAAGCCTACAATGTTGAAAAAATCCAGCTTGTAAGAATTGTTTATGGTTCAGAGTTTTAACAAAGAAATTTGGTTGATTGAAGAAATCATAGTTAACAATGAACAAGCACATTAAGTTGGCCAGCTCATGGCAACCACATAAACTTTTCTCAGACTAACCAATATTTTGATATGTAAATAATTTTAGTTACTACTTTTCAGTATTTATGTGCTATTCACAGTTGTTTTTTTAAAGGCTACCAGCATTTTTTCATTTATTTAAAATAAGAGCAATATTAAATTTCTATGCCACTCATCTCCCCTACAAGGTGACCCTAGACAGCTTACAAATTGTGGAAACTAGTGAAATATAAACAAATAGCTAATCATATTATGTTTCTGATAAATATTGAATGTATATAGCAATCTAAGTTTGTCCTGAGGCTCTCATATATGGTATGATACTATTTTTTAAGAGATAGTTTAGACTGAGCCTGCACTTTTTCAAGTAACTTTTGTGTAGTTTATCTATTTAAATTTATATATGTATTATTATTACTTAATAAATGATTTATTTGCTTTTTATATAAGACTATTGTTAATATATTAGATTATTTTCTGGATTGTACAGCATTTAAGCTACTTGTGGTTGTTTCACAAGAAACCCAAGCTACATTGGGAAATCTAAGCAGACACCGTACTAAGCAGCACTGCCGTTGTGAATGAATGCACACCGTTGAATCCTACTAAGGGTAGAATGGCCAGTTTCTGCTCCTTTAAGAACAAAGCATTGGTCGATGGTTGCCAGGAGAACCAACCTGAGGTAATAGGATAAAGAAATTCCTTCCTGTCATAACTTCTTTTTGCAGGCAGGCATTATATTACTATAGTTAAGGGTCATTTTGGAGCGTCTATGTCCTAAAATAACCCTTCCCACTGGAATTAACTCTTGTAGTTTAAGCCCTTCTTTGAAGATCTACCCACCCGCCTGTGAGGTTTTTTCCCCACCCTAGAGTCCACCCGAGCGGTCCACCGCCTGTTCCTTCGTCTTCTGTTACTACCCGGTCAGTCCAGATGAGTTCAGAAGGAACACTACTTCCACAGGAGCTACTGAGCATGCTCGAACTCCCGGAGCATGCTCAGTGATAGCCAAACTGCAACTTCTGACGGACGACGAGTTTCACGCGTTTAGAAAAAGGAAGCGCTCCTAGCTCCGCAGTAAACGCCTTCCTGCTGCAGGGGCGGCCGCGGCTGTGTGGCGACAGAGGTGTGGGTTCCTAGATGGAGCGAAGGGCCAAAGGGAATCCCGATCTCTGCTCTCGAAGTGGCGGCTGTCCTAGGGGTCCAGTGCTACACATCGTGGTGGTCGGTTTCCATCACAAGAAGGGCTGCCAGGTGAGCGGCTGCCAGTTCGACTGGCTTCCTTGACCGATCATGTCACTTTTTTGTACTTCTTCCGCTTTCCAGCCATACTTCCTTCCGTATTACATCTCTTCTGTGCTTGGGCATCCCAATTTTCCTGTCACTCATCTTCTATGTATAATATTTGTTATTTTCATTTATTTCCATTTGCTCAGCCTTTCTAAAGGTAATGCCTTTCTGTAACTGAGACTACAATTCCCGTTAGTCCCAACTCACCGTCCGATTTCTGTATTCCTATAGGCATATTATATGATAGGGTATTATCAAAAATGCATTTGCACATTTCTCTAAATGTAAAAAAAATATGTGTGTGTGTGAACAACCCTATATAACTACATTGTGGGAGTATATAAATTACTGATTCAAATGTCCAGATACCATGAAGCTTCAGGTCACTTAGTATTTCTAATCTACTTTATCCTTGTATTGACCCAAAAACTGGGCTCTTGCTTGGTGTCTAAGCTGATAAGTCACCTGACACAAAGTGTGATACACTTAATTTTTAAAGTCAAGGGGTGTTCGCATTCAACCCTTTGCCCTTCCCTTAATAATGCATGCATAACATAATATTGATTGATTATTGAATTTCAGCCCCCTAAACCCTTATGCTTGTGATGCTAAATAGCTAAATGTCACGTCACCTGTTTTTTACCCAGGTCACGAATATCTTGCAAAGTGTGCTATCTATGTGGTTTTTGTGAGTTTTCTTATAAGCAAGCTATTCTTGTGTCTAATATCCTGGCTAGTGGTTTTCTAACAGGTAATGTGCTAACTTCTATCTCGCTATGACTTTAGAGCCCACCCACCCCATATTGCAGAGCAGAATAAAAGAACAAACAGTTCTTCTCAAGGTAGCACCCCTGTAACCCCCCTCCTTCCTCAGAGAAAAGTAAAAGCAGTTTTAAGTCTTTGTCTGAGGTAGCTCCCCCATCTGCAGTGAGAGAGGACAGGAAGGAGCAAAGCTCTTAATTGTTAAGGCAAAGTAATGAAGACAACAGAAAATGTTGTATCAGAATTCATATTCCTCACTCTCATGTCCATTCCATCCATACCTGGGTCCTATCTCCAAGTATGACCCTTCCTCTGATCCCCAGGGCTTCTTCTGTAGATACATTCCATCATCTGATCCTTCACTTACAGAACTTTCTGTTCATATTTTGTCCATGCCAAATCCAACTGCGTGAAGAAAGATGCTTAGATTGTAACTTTATAATTGTGATCTTCATTTGTAAATATTCTTGTAAGAAATTGAGTGGAATGTAATAACAATAGCACTTAGACTTATATACCAGTTTATAGTCCTTTACAGCCTTCTCTAAGCAGTTTACAGAGTCAGCATACTGCCCCCAACAATCTGGATCCTCATTTTACTGACCTATTGAAGGATGGAGTCAACTTGGTGAGATTCAAACTGCCAAATTGCAGACAGTCAGCAGGCAGCAGAAGTAGCCTACAGTCCTGCATTCCAACCAGTGCTTCACTGTGGACAAACTTGTCAGAATGGAATTAAATAAGTTTATGTTGTCTATATACTGTACAGCTATATCAAGGCATTTTTATGAGAAAGATATAAAATAATTAAATGATTTTTAAAGGGCTATTATTCCACATGAACTATAAAAAAGCATACATAATTTAGTGACTTATGATCTGTTACTGAAATTATGTAAAATTAACTTTGATTGTTTAAATCAACTGTGTAACTAATCCAACAGTCTAAAAACCTCAGTGCAAGGCAAATTCTGATACTGTTATTTAAAGAAGCAATAGTTTTCTGTAGGTTAGAATATACAATAATTGAAGAATAAGTGCAGGAATATGATAACCTAATCAATTATTTTGACAGGTTTATTATTTTGAGGTGTCCTATGATGATATTCTCACTGTGGAAACACATTCTTTTTGTCTATTACGAATGCATCCACTGACAGCTTCATCAGTATCTTTTAAGCGCCATTTGATTTTCTTTTGTTTTTTTAGATATTTTAATGAAACTGATGGAGAGATAGCATTCCTCTGAGGCTCATCTTTATTTGTAGAACATAAAAATAGATGACTACAAATTTTTTTATTTTGAAATGTGCCTATAAAACAAGAAGAACTAGGTACATGTAGTCTTCAACTTACAGAAGTTTATTTAGTGACTGTTCAAAGTTACAACCACTGTTCCCTCTAAGGTGCGCAGCTGCGCGGCCGCACACGTGGCAAGAAAACCCTGCGCAGCAGTTTCTATCTGCCGCGCAGAGATTTCTGTAAAGCAAACGTGGGGAAGTCCTTTGCAGGCGGCTAGAACTGGCCGCCTGCAAAGGACCTCCCCAGACTTGTTTTGAAGAGCACGGCTCTTCAAGTCCATGTTCAGGGGATCCCTTGGAGAGGGGATTCCTTCCTGCGAGACCCCGCCCAGAAAATGCGGAGAGATTGGCTGGGCTGGATGTGGC